GGAGGTGCACCTGTCTGAGGAGGCGCTCCCGCTCCTCCTGAGGAGAGCCCATGTTCTTGTGCTCGGCCTCCAGAGCGTCTCTCCTCTGCTGCAGCTCACTGAGGTGTTCATGGAGGAGAACCATCTGCTGTTTGGTCTGAGAGTGGGACAGCTCCTACACACATGTATACACACATTAACACACACACACATCATCATATACACACACACACACATAATCATACACACACACACACACACATAATCATATACACACACAGACACATAATCATATACACACACACATAATCATATACACACACACATAATCATATACACACACAGACACATAATCATATACACACATTATAATACACACACACACATAATCATATACACACACACACATCATCATATACACACACACACATAATCATATACACACACAAACACATAATCATATACACACATTATAATACACACACACACATAATCATATACACACACACACACACACACACATCATCATATACACACACACACACATAATCATATACACACACACACACACACACACAATCATATAAACACACACACACACACATAATCATATACACACACACACATAATCATATACACGCGCACACACACACATAATCATATACACACACACACATTATAATACACACACACACATAATCATATACACACACACACACACACACACACATAATCATATACACACACACACACATAATCATATACACACACATTATAATACACACACACACATAATCATATACACACACATTATAATACACACACACAAATAATCATATACACACACACACACATAATCATATACACACACATAATCATATACACACACACACACATAATCATATACACACACACACACACATATAATCATATACACACACACACACACATATAATCATATACACACACACACACATATAATCATATACACACACACACACACATATAATCATATACATACACATTATAATACACACACACACATAATCATATACACACACACACACACATATAATCATATACACACACACACACATATAATCATATACACACACATTATAATACACACACACACATAATCATACACACACACACATTATAATACACACACACCCATAATCATATACACACGCACACACATATAATCATATATACACACACACACATATAATCATATACACACACATTATAATACACACACACATAATCATACACACACACACACACACATAATCATATACACACACACACACACACACACACACACTGTAGTGAGACCTACTGCTTCATAGTCCTCTCTCCTGGTCTGCAGAAGGTCCAGCTCCTCCTGCAGCACGCTCAGCTCCTATGGTCACACACGGCTGCTGTGAGTTAGGGCCATACAAAAACACACACTGGAGACACACACTGGGAGTCACACACTGGGAGTCACACACTGGGAGACACACACACTGGGAGACACACACACTGGGAGTCACACACTGGGAGTCACACTGACACACACACTGGGAGTCACACACTGGGAGTCACACACTGGGAGTCACACACTGACACACACACTGGGAGACACACACTGGGAGTCACACACTGACACACACACTGGGAGACACACTGGGAGACACACACACTGACACACACACTGGGAGTCACACACTGGGAGACACACACTGACACACACACTGCGAGTCACACACTGGGAGTCACACACTGACACACACACTGGGAGACACACACTAGGAGACACACACTGGGAAATACACACTGGGAGTCACACACTGGGAGACACACACTGGGAGTCACACACTGACACACACACTGGGAGACACACACTGGGAGTCACACACTGACACACACACTGGGAGTCACACACTGACACACACACTGGGAGACACACACTAGGAGACACACACTGGGAAATACACACTGGGAGTCACACACTGGGAGACACACACTGACACACACACTGGGAGACACACACTGGGAGTCACACACTGACACACACACTGGGAGTCACACACTGACACACACACTGGGAGACACACACTAGGAGACACACACTGGGAAATACACACTGGGAGTCACACACTGGGAGACACACACTGACACACACACTGGGAGACACACACTGGGAGTCACACACTGACACACACACTGGGAGTCTCACACTGGGAGTCACACACTGGGAGTCACACACTGACACACACACTGGGAGACACACATTGGGAGTCACACACTGACACACACACTGGGAAATACACACTGGGAGTCACACACTGGGAGACACACACTAGGAGACACACACTGGGAAATACACACTGGGAGTCACACACTGGGAGACACACACTGGGAGTCACACACTGACACACACACTGGGAGACACACACTGGGAGTCACACACTGACACACACACTGGGAGTCACACACTGACACACACACTGGGAGACACACACTAGGAGACACACACTGGGAAATACACACTGGGAGTCACACACTGGGAGACACACACTGGGAGTCACACACTGACACACACACTGGGAGTCCCACACTGGGAGTCACACACTGGGAGTCACACACTGACACACACACTGGGAGACACACACTGGGAGTCACACACTGACACACACACTGGGAAATACACACTGGGAGTCACACACTGGGAGACACACACTGACACACACACTGGGAGTCACACACTGGGAGTCACACACTGACACACACACTGGGAGACACACTGGGAGACACACACTGACACACCCACTGGGAGTCACACACTGACACACACACTGGGAGACACACACTGACACACACACTGGGAGACACACACTGACACACACACTGGGAGTCACACACTGACACATACACTGGGAGTCACACACTGACACACACACTGGGAGTCACACACTGACACACACACTGGGAGACACACTGGGAGACACACACTGACACACCCACTGGGAGTCACACACTGACACACACACTGGGAGACACACACTGACACACACACTGGGAGACACACACTGACACACACACTGGGAGACACACACTGACACACACACTGACACACACACTGGGAGATACACACTACACACACACTGGGAGACACACACTGACACACACACTGGGAGACACACACTGACACACACACTGACACACACACTGGGACACACACTGACACACACACTGGGACACACACACTGACACACACTGGGAGACACACACTGACACACACTGGGAGACACACACTGACACACACACTGACACACACACTGGGAGATACACACTGACACACACACTGGGAGACACACACTGACACACACACTGGGAGACACACACTGACACACACACTGACACACACACTGGGACACACACTGACACACACACTGGGACACACACACTGACACACACACTGGGAGACACACACTGACACACACACTGGGAGACACACACTGACACACACACTGGGAGACACACACTGACACACACACTGACACACACACTGGGAGATACACACTGACACACACACTGGGAGACACACACTGACACACACACTGGGAGACACACACTGACACACACACTGACACACACACTGGGACACACACTGACACACACACTGGGACACACACACTGACACACACTGGGAGACACACACTGACACACACACTGACACACACACTGGGAGATACACACTGACACACACACTGGGAGACACACACTGACACACACACTGGGAGACACACACTGACACACACACTGACACACACACTGGGACACACACTGACACACACACTGGGACACACACACTGACATACACTGGGAGACACACACTGACACACACTGGGAGACACACACTGGGAGTCACACACTGACACACACACTGACACACACACTGGGAGACACACACTGACACACACACTGGGACACACACACTGGGACACACACTGACACACACACTGGGACACACACACTGACACACACACTGGGAGACACACACTGACACACACACTGGGACACACACTGACACACACACTGGGACACACACTGACACACACACTGGGACACACACACTGACACACACACTGGGAGACACACACTGACACACACACTGGGACACACACAGACACACACACTGGGACACACACTGGGACACACACACTGACACACACACTGACACACACACTGACACACACACTGGACACACACACTGACACACACACTGGGAGACACACACTGACACACACACACTGGAGACACACACTGGGAGTCACACACTGACACACACACTGACACACACACTGGGACACACACACTGACACACACACACTGGGAGACACACACTGACACACACACTGGGAGACACACACTGACACACACACTGGGAGACACACACTGACACACACACTGGGACACACACACTGACACACACTGGGACACACACTGACACACACACTGACACACACTGGGACACACACACTGACACACACACACTGGGACACACACACTGACACACACACGGGAGACACACACTGACACACACTGGGAGACACACGACACACTGGGAGACACACTGACACACACATGGGAACACACTGACACCTGACACACACACTGGGACACACACAACGGACACACGACACACACTGACACACACACTGGGACACACACACACGACACACACTGGAACACACACTGACACACACACACTGGGACACACACACTGGACACACACTGACACACACCTGGGACACACACACTGACACACACTGGGACACACACACTGGACACACACACTGGGACACACACTGACACACACTGGGACACCACACACTGACACACACACTGGGACACACACACTGACACACACATGGGACACACACACTGACACACACTGGGACACACACACTGACACACACACTGGGACACACACACTGACACACACACTGGGACACACACACTGACACACACCTGACACACACTGGACACACACACTGACACACACACTGACACACACACTGACACACACTGGAACACACACTGACACACACACACTGGGACACACACACTGACACACACTGGGAGACACACACTGACACACACACTGGGACACACACACTGACACACACTGACACACACACTGGGACACACACACTGACACACACACTGGGACACACACACTGACACACACTGGGACACACACTGACACACACACTGGGACACACACACTGACACACACTGACACACACTGGGACACACACACTGACACACACACTGACACACACTGACACACACTGGGACACACACACTGACACACACACTGGGACACACACACTGACACACACTGGGACACACACACTGGGAACACACACACCTGACACACACTGGGACACACACACTGACACACACACTGGGACACACACACTGACACACACACACACACACTGACACACACTGAACACACTGGGAGACACACACTACACACACACTGGGAGTCACACACTGACACACACACTGGGAGACACACACTGACACACACACTGGGAACCACACACTGACACACACACTGGGAGACACACACTGACACACACACTGACACACACACTGGGAGATACACACATGACACACACTGGGACACACACACTGACACACACACCTGGGACACACACACTGACACACACACTGACACACACACTGGGACACACACTGGGACACACACTGGGAGACACACACTGACACACACTGGGCACCACTGGGACACACACACTGACACACACTGGGACACACACACTGACACACACTGGGACACACACACTGACACACACACTGGGACACACACTGACACACACTGGGACACACACACTGACACACACTGGGACACACACACTGACACACACACTGGGACACACACATGACACACACTGGGACACACACAATGACACACACTGGGACACACACACTGACACACACACTGGGACACACACACTGACACACACACTGGGAGACACACACTGACACACACTGACACACACACTGGGACACACACACTGACACACACACTGGGACACACACACTGACACACACACTGGGACACACACACTGGGAGACACACACTGACACACACTGACACACACACTGGGACACACACTGACACACACACTGACACACACACTGGGACACACACACTGACACACACACTGGGAGACACACACTGACACACACACTGGGACACACACAGACACACACACTGGGACACACACTGGGACACACACACTGACACACACACTGACACACACACTGGGACACACACTGGGACACACACTGGGACACACACTGACACACACACTGGGACACACACACTGACACACACTGTGTGACACACACTGGGAGACACACACTGGGACACACACTGACACACACACTGACACACACACTGGGACACACACACTGACACACACACTGGGAGACACACACTGACACACACACTGGGAGACACACACTGACACACCACTGGGAACACACACTGACACACACACTGGGACACACACACTGACACACACTGGGAGACACACACTGACACACACTGACACACACTGGGACACACACACTGGGACACACACACTGACACACACACTGGGAGACACACACTGACACACACTGGGAGACACACTGACACACACTGGGAGACACACTGACACACACACTGGGAGACACACACTGACACACACACTGACACACACACTGGGACACACACTGACACACACACTGGGAGACACACACTGACACACACACTGACACACACACTGGGACACACACTGGGAGACACACACTGACACACACACTGGGACACACACACTGACACACACACTGACACACACTGGGAGACACACACTGACACACACACTGGGACACACACACTGACACACACTGGGAGACACACACTGACACACACACTGGGACACACACACTGACACACACTGACACACACTGGGACACACACACTGACACACACTGGGACACACACACTGGGACACACACTGACACACACTGGGACACACACACTGACACACACACTGGGAGACACACACTGACACACACTGACACACACTGGGACACACACACTGACACACACACTGACACACACTGGGAGACACACACTGACACACACACTGGGACACACACACTGACACACACTGGGAGACACACACTGACACACACACTGGGACACACACACTGACACACACTGACACACACTGGGACACACACACTGACACACACTGGGACACACACACTGACACACACACTGGGACACACACTGACACACACTGGGACACACACACTGACACACACACTGGGACACACACACTGACACACACTGACACACACTGGGACACACACACTGACACACACTGGGACACACACACTGACACACACACTGGGACACACACTGACACACACACTGGGACACACACACTGACACACACTGACACACACTGGGATACACACACTGACACACACACTGACACACACACTGACACACACTGGGAGACACACACTGACACACACACTGGGACACACACACTGACACACACTGGGAGACACACACTGACACACACACTGGGACACACACACTGACACACACTGACACACACTGGGACACACACACTGACACACACACTGGGACACACACACTGACACACACTGGGAGACACACACTGACACACACACTGGGACACACACACTGACACACACTGACACACACTGGGACACACACACTGACACACACACTGACACACACTGACACACACTGGGACACACACACTGACACACACACTGGGACACACACACTGACACACACTGGGACACACACACTGGGAGACACACACTGACACACACTGACACACACTGGGACACACACACTGACACACACACTGGGACACACACACTGACACACACACTGACACACACTGACACACACACTGGGAGACACACACTTACACACACACTGGGAGTCACACACTGACACACACACTGGGAGACACACACTGACACACACACTGGGAGACACACACTGACACACACACTGGGAGACACACACTGACACACACACTGACACACACACTGGGAGATACACACTGACACACACTGGGACACACACACTGACACACACACTGGGACACACACACTGACACACACACTGACACACACACTGGGACACACACTGGGACACACACTGGGAGACACACACTGACACACACACTGGGAGACACACACTGACACACACTGGGACACACACACTGACACACACTGGGACACACACACTGACACACACACTGGGACACACACTGACACACACTGGGACACACACACTGACACACACTGGGACACACACACTGACACACACACTGGGACACACACACTGACACACACACTGACACACACACTGGGACACACACTGGGACACACACTGGGAGACACACACTGACACACACACTGGGAGACACACACTGACACACACTGGGACACACACACTGACACACACTGGGACACACACACTGACACACACACTGGGACACACACTGACACACACTGGGACACACACACTGACACACACTGGGACACACACACTGACACACACACTGGGACACACACTGACACACACTGGGACACACACAATGACACACACTGGGACACACACACTGACACACACACTGGGACACACACACTGACACACACACTGGGAGACACACACTGACACACACTGACACACACACTGGGACACACACACTGACACACACTGACACACACACTGGGACACACACACTGACACACACACTGGGACACACACACTGGGAGACACACACTGACACACACTGACACACACACTGGGACACACACACTGACACACACACTGACACACACACTGGGACACACACACTGACACACACACTGGGACACACACACTGACACACACACTGGGACACACACACTGACACACACACTGACACACACTGGGAGACACACACTGACACACACACTGGGACACACACACTGGGAGACACACACTGACACACACTGGGACACACACACTGACACACACACTGACACACACACTGGGACACACACACTGACACACACACTGACACACACACTGGGACACACACACTGACACACACACTGGGACACACACACCTGCAGCAGCTGCTGGTTGTTGGCCGTCATGGTGTAGTACTGCTCCTGTCGCGCCGACGCCATGGACTGCACCAGCTCCTCCGCCACGCTCCTCTCCCTCGCCATGTCCTCCTCCACGGCCTGGATCGCCTCCTCCTTCCTGCACACAACCATCACATGTTTGACTCATTTATGACTCTACAGTCTCCACAGCGCCCCCTGCAGTGCGACTCCTTCAGGACAGAACCCCGGGTGTGTGACAGTACCACTGCCCCCTGGTCCTGGTTTATGGCCCTCACCGTTGCAGTAAAATGACAGTGACACGGCAGCATGTGTTGTGATTGGCTGAGGGGGTTAGCGTCAGTAAATGTTTAGCTAGCAGTGACAGATCCACTTTTACACCGGGACAAAGTTCTTTTACAGCGGTTTCAGACATGTGAGCCTCTGCCTCCGGCCCAGACACACGCTGAGTCTGGCTCGGAACCCGGATTAGACCATAGTTTTCTTGAATTGACTGGGATAATAATGTGAGTTAATAATGTGTTGATCAGTGGAACTCCAGCTCTGGATTAATGTGAAGACTCGTAAACAGTATGAGAGAAGGACCGAAAAGACAATAAGGAAGTACAGTGGACTGTGTGACATCACTTAACAATAATCTATCTTACGGTGTCCAACATACAGACTGTATACAGATGCTAATGCTAACACAGACTGTATACAGATGCTAATGCTAACACAGACTGTATACAGATGCTAATGCTAACACAGACTGTATACAGATGCTAATGCTAACACAGACTGTATACAGATGCTAATGCTAACACAGACTGTATACAGATGCTAATGCTAACACAGACTGTATACAGATGCTAATGCTAACACAGACTGTATACAGATGCTAATGCTAACACAGACTGTATACAGATGCTAATGCTAACACAGACTGTATACAGATGCTAATGCTAACACAGACTGTATACAGATGCTAATGCTAACACAGACTGTATACAGATGCTAATGCTAACACAGACTGTATACAGATGCTAATGCTAACACAGACTGTATACAGATGCTAATGCTAACACAGACTGTATACAGATGCTAATGCTAACACAGACTGTATACAGATGCTAATGCTAACACAGACTGTATACAGATGCTAATGCTAACACAGACTGTATACAGATGCTAATGCTAACACAGACTGTATACAGATGCTAATGCTAACACAGACTGTATACAGATGCTAATGCTAACACAGACTGTATACAGATGCTAATGCTAACACAGACTGTATACAGATGCTAATGCTAACACAGACTGTATACAGATGCTAATGCTAACACAGACTGTATACAGATGCTAATGCTAACACAGACTGTATACAGATGCTAATGCTAACACAGACTGTATACAGATGCTAATGCTAACACAGACTGTATACAGATGCTAATGCTAACACAGACTGTATACAGATGCTAATGCTAACACAGACTGTATACAGATGCTAATGCTAACACAGACTGTATACAGATGCTAATGCTAACACAGACTGTATACAGATGCTAATGCTAACACAGACTGTATACAGATGCTAATGCTAACACAGACTGTATACAGAGGCTAATGCTAACACAGACTGTATACAGATGCTAATGCTAACACAGACTGTATACAGATGCTAATGCTAACACAGTCTGTATACAGATGCTAATGCTAACACAGACTGTATACAGATGCTAATGCTAACACAGACTGTATACAGATGCTAATGCTAACACAGACTGTATACAGATGCTAATGCTAACACAGACTGTATACAGATGCTAATGCTAACACAGACTGTATACAGATGCTAATGCTAACACAGACTGTATACAGATGCTAATGCTAACACAGACTGTATACAGATGCTAATGCTAACACAGACTGTATACAGATGCTAATGCTAACACAGACTGTATACAGATGCTAATGCTAACACAGACTGTATACAGATGCTAATGCTAACACAGACTGTATACAGATGCTAATGCTAACACAGACTGTATACAGATGCTAATGCTAACACAGACTGTATACAGATGCTAATGCTAACACAGACTGTATACAGATGCTAATGCTAACACAGACTGTATACAGATGCTAATGCTAACACAGACTGTATACAGATGCTAATGCTAACACAGACTGTATACAGATGCTAATGCTAACACAGACTGTATACAGATGCTAATGCTAACACAGACTGTATACAGATGCTAATGCTAACACAGACTGTATACAGATGCTAATGCTAACACAGACTGTATACAGATGCTAATGCTAACACAGACTGTATACAGATGCTAATGCTAACACAGACTGTATACAGATGCTAATGCTAACACAGACTGTATACAGATGCTAATGCTAACACAGACTGTATACAGATGCTAATGCTAACACAGACTGTATACAGATGCTAATGCTAACACAGACTGTATACAGATGCTAATGCTAACACAGACTGTATACAGATGCTAATGCTAACACAGACTGTATACAATGCTAATGCTAACACAGACTGTATACAGATGCTAATGCTAACACAGACTGTATACAGATGCTAATGCTAACACAGACTGTATACAGATGCTAATGCTAACACAGACTGTATACAGATGCTAATGCTAACACAGACTGTATACAGATGCTAATGCTAACACAGACTGTATACAGATGCTAATGCTAACACAGACTGTATACAGATGCTAATGCTAACACAGACTGTATACAGATGCTAATGTATGTGTATTTTGTATTTTAATGTGTGAAGCGCTTTGTGACCCTGGTCTGTGAAAGGCGCTATACAAATAAACTTTACTTACTTACTTACTTACTTAATGCTAACACAGACTGTATACAGATGGACAATGCTAACCCGCTAACTCAATGACGCCAAATAAGGAAGTGCTCCTAAAACAGTTGCTTCTGTCACCAGTTTCATGTCATGTATTTCTGTCTCTGTCACATGTTAAGATCAAAGAGAGCACCACCCTCTCTCAGCCAATCAGCTCTCAGCCCAAAGAGGCAGATAGTGACTCTCAGGGCTCTCTCTAAAGTTTGCAAAAAAAAAAGTATAATATTTTTTTGACCGTTTTTTAAAGACCTCCGAGATAACTAATGTTTTGACCTAGGGCTTGAATTGGAGTATGAAGTGTAGAGAATGCGTTCTGCCTGTAACTCCCTGTGCTGCCACCAGAGGGAGCAGCTGAAGCGGCACGGTGGCTGAGTGGATAGCACGGTGGCTGAGTGGATAGCACTCTCGCCTCTCAGCAAGAAGGTCCTGGGTTCAAATCCCGGCCGGACCAGGGCCTTTCTGAGTGGAGTTTGCATGTTCTCCCCGTGTCTGCGTAGGTTTCCTCCGGGTACTCCGGTTTCCCCTACCACTAAAAATATGTCCAATAGTTCTGGCATGCGCCTCCTGTACTGGCCCCGCTCCCATCTCTGTGTGGAGTGAGAGACAAATGCCCAAAATTAACAATTGTAAACCGCTTTGTGACTCTGGTCTGCAGTGAAAAGGCGGTATATAAATAAAAACTTACTTACTTACTTACTTACTGAAGAGAGTCTCCCCTGTGTTTCAGATGAGGCCCTGTGCTCAGTCCCTGTGCTCCCTCTGCTCTCTGCTCTGCCTCCTGCTGACACCTGGAGCTCTGTGTGATGTTCTCCAGCCAAAGGCAGCTGAGGAAGTGGGACCTCCTCGTCCTCCTCAGGTAGGACTCATGTGGATCGATCACACAGTAGCTCTCTGCCTTTATGGTCCCGGGACAGTAGCTCTCTGCCTTTATGGTCATGGGACAGTGGCTCTCTGTCTTTATGGTCCTGGGACAGTAGCTCTCTGCCTTTATGGTCCCGGGACAGTAGCTCTCTGCCTTTATGGTCCCGGGACAGTAGCTCTCTGCCTTTATGGTCCCGGGACAGTAGCTATCTGTCTTTATGGTCCCAGGACAGTAGCTCTCTGTCTTTATGGTCACGGGACAGTGGCTCTCTGTCTTTATGGTCCCGGGACAGTAGCTCTCTGCCTTTATGGTCCCGGGACAGTAGCTCTCTGCCGTTATGGTCCCGGGACAGTAGCTCTCTGTCTTTATGGTCCCGGGACAGTAGCTCTCTGCCTTTATGGTCCCGGGACAGTAGCTCTCTGTCTTTATGGTCCCGGGACAGTAGCTCTCTGTCTTTATGGTCCCGGGACAGTAGCTCTCTGCCTTTATGGTCCCGGGACAGTAGCTCTCTGTCTTTATGGTCCCGGGACAGTAGCTCTCTGTCTTTATGGTCACGGGACAGTAGCTCTCTGCCTTTATGGTCCCGGGACAGTAGCTCTCTGCCTTTATGGTCCCGGGACAGTAGCTCTCTGCTTTATGGTCCCGGGACAGTAGCTCTCTGGGTGAATAAGGTTGGGGACACCTATTGTAAACCGTCCACAGATCCTGGACCTGACCCGGACCCAGCTCCAGGCCGTGCCCCACAGCCCCCCCAACGGCTCGGTCTGGACCCTGATCCTGAACCAGAACCGGATCAGTCTGGATGAGTCTGACAGAGAGGCCCTGAGGAGCTACAGGGGCCTCACTCACCTCTATCTGGAGCACAATGCAGTCACAGAAGTCACCGCGGGATATTTCACCCAGATGCCCCGCCTCACACTGCTGTCTCTGTGCGGGAACAACATCAGCAGGTACCACTGAGCACAGGGACCACACTGAGCACAGGGACCACTGAGGACAGGTACCACAGTGAGCACAGGGACCACAACATCAGCAGGTACCACTGATCACAGGGACCACTGAGCACAGGGACCAAACAACATCAGCAGGTACCACTGAGCACAGGGACCACTGAGCACAGGTACCACAGTGAGCACAGGGACCACTGAGGACAGGTACCACAGTGAGCACAGGGACCACAACATCAGCAGGTACCACTGATCACAGGGACCACTGAGCACAGGGACCAAACAACATCAGCAGGTACCACTGAGCACAGGGACCACTGAGCACAGGTACCACAGTGAGCACAGGGACCACAACTACACTGGAGCACAGGGACCACACTGAGCACAGGGACCACAACATCAGCAGGTACCGCACTGAGCACAGGGACCACAACATCAGCAGGTACCGCACTGAGCACAGGGACCACAACATCAGCAGGTACCGCACTGAGCACAGGGACCACAACATCAGCAGGTACCGCACTGAGCACAGGGACCACAACATCAGCAGGTACCGCACTGAGCACAGGGACCACAACATCAGCAGGTACCGCACTGAGCACAGGGACCACAACATCAGCAGGTACCGCACTGAGCACAGGGACCACAACATCAGCTGGTACCACTGAGCACAAGGACCAACACTACACACATTTATACATATACTTTTCAGCAAGAACTCTACTCTCCTCCTTCTCCTTCTCCTTCTCCTTCTCCTTCTCCTTCTCCTTCTCCTTCTCCTTCTCCTTCTCCTTCTCCTCCTCCTCCTCCTCTTCCTCCTCCTCCTCCTCCTTCTCCTTCTCCTGCTCCTGCTCCTGCTCCTCCTCCTCCTCCTCCTCCTCCTCCTCACATTTTAAAGTTTTAAATCAATATATTGAGATCTAGTTTGTAGATAAAACCTCCTGCTGTGGTCTGATGCAGACTGGACGCTGCTGCCTTCAGTGGTCTGGAGAACTTAACACACCTGGATTTATCCAACACCTCCCTGAGCCGTCTGCCAGGAGCTCTGCTGTCTGCTCTGCCCAGCCTACAGGTACTGACTACAGGTACAACACCTCCCTGAGCCGTCTGCCAGGAGCTCTGCTGTCTGCTCTGCCCAGCCTACAGGTACTGACTACAGGTACAACACCTCCCTGAGCCGTCTGCCAGGAGCTCTGCTGTCTGCTCTGCCCAGCCTACAGGTACTGACTACAGGTACAACACCTCCCTGAGCCGTCTGCCAGGAGCTCTGCTGTCTGCTCTGCCCAGCCTACAGGTACTGACTACAGGTACAACACCTCCCTGAGCCGTCTGCCAGGAGCTCTGCTGTCTGCTCTGCCCAGCCTACAGGTACTGACTACAGGTACAACACCTCCCTGAGCCGTCTGCCAGGAGCTCTGCTGTCTGCTCTGCCCCAGCCTACAGGTACTGACTACAGGTACAACACCTCCCTGAGCCGTCTGCCAGGAGCTCTGCTGTCTGCTCTGCCCAGCCTACAGGTACTGACTACAGGTACAACACCTCCCTGAGCCGTCTGCCAGGAGCTCTGCTGTCTGCTCTGCCCAGCCTACAGGTACTGACTACAGGTACAACACCTCCCTGAGCCGTCTGCCAGGAGCTCTGCTGTCTGCTCTGCCCAGCCTACAGGTACTGACTACAGGTACAACACCTCCCTGAGCCGTCTGCCAGGAGCTCTGCTGTCTGCTTTGCCCAGCCTACAGGTACTGACTACAGGTACAACACCTCCCTGAGCCGTCTGCCAGGAGCTCTGCTGTCTGCTCTGCCCAGTCTACAGGTACTGACTACAGGTACAACACCTCCCTGAGCCGTCTGCCAGGAGCTCTGCTGTCTGCTCTGCCCAGCCTACAGGTACTGACTACAGGTACAACACCTCCCTGAGCCGTCTGCCAGGAGCTCTGCTGTCTGCTCTGCCCAGCCTACAGGTACTGACTACAGGTACAACACCTCCCTGAGCCGTCTGCCAGGAGCTCTGCTGTCTGCTCTGCCCAGCCTACAGGTACTGACTACAGGTACAACACCTCCCTGAGCCGTCTGCCAGGAGCTCTGCTGTCTGCTCTGCCCAGCCTACAGGTACTGACTACAGGTACAACACCTCCCTGAGCCGTCTGCCAGGAGCTCTGCTGTCTGCCCTGCCCAGCCTACAGGTACTGACTACAGGTACAACACCTCCCTGAGCCGTCTGCCAGGAGCTCTGCTGTCTGCTCTGCCCAAACTACAGGTACTGACTACAGGTACAACACCTCCCTGAGCCGTCTGCCAGGAGCTCTGCTGTCTGCTCTGCCCAGCCTACAGGTACTGACTACAGGTACAACACCTCCCTGAGCCGTCTGCCAGGAGCTCTGCTGTCTGCTCTGCCCAGCCTACAGGTACTGACTACAGGTACAACACCTCCCTGAGCCGTCTGCCAGGAGCTCTGCTGTCTGCTCTGCCCAGCCTACAGGTACTGACTACAGGTACAACACCTCCCTGAGCCGTCTGCCAGGAGCTCTGCTGTCTGCTTTGCCCAGCCTACAGGTACTGACTACAGGTACAACACCTCCCTGAGCCGTCTGCCAGGAGCTCTGCTGTCTGCTCTGCCCAGCCTACAGGTACTGACTACAGGTACAACACCTCCCTGAGCCGTCTGCCAGGAGCTCTGCTGTCTGCTCTGCCCAGCCTACAGGTACTGACTACAGGTACAACACCTCCCTGAGCCGTCTGCCAGGAGCTCTGCTGTCTGCTCTGCCCAGCCTACAGGTACTGACTACAGGTACAACACCTCCCTGAGCCGTCTGCCAGGAGCTCTGCTGTCTGCTCTGCCCAGCCTACAGGTACTGACTACAGGTACAACACCTCCCTGAGCCGTCTGCCAGGAGCTCTGCTGTCTGCTCTGCCCAGCCTACAGGTACTGACTACAGGTACAACACCTCCCTGAGCCGTCTGCCAGGAGCTCTGCTGTCTGCTCTGCCCAGCCTACAGGTACTGACTACAGGTACAACACCTCCCTGAGCCGTCTGCCAGGAGCTCTGCTGTCTGCTCTGCCCAGCCTACAGGTACTGACTACAGGTACAACACCTCCCTGAGCCGTCTGCCAGGAGCTCTGCTGTCTGCTCTGCCCAGCCTACAGGTACTGACTACAGGTACAACACCTCCCTGAGCCGTCTGCCAGGAGCTCTGCTGTCTGCTCTGCCCAGCCTACAGGTACTGACTACAGGTACAACACCTCCCTGAGCCGTCTGCCAGGAGCTCTGCTGTCTGCTCTGCCCAGCCTACAGGTACTGACTACAGGTACTGACTACAGGTACTGACTACAGGTACAACACCTCTCTGAGGCGTCTACCAGGAGGGCTGCTGTCTGCCCTGCCCAACCTAAAGTTACAGCACTGACCTACAGGTACAACACTGACCTACAGGTACAGCACTGACCTACAGGTACAACACTGACCTACAGGTACAACACTGACCTACAGGTACAACACTGACCTACAGGTACAGCACTGACCTACAGGTACAGCACTGACCTACAGGTACAACACTGACCTACAGGTACAGCACTGACCTACAGGT